CCGCTCTGTGTCCGAGTGGTGAAAGCGAAACCATTCTGCTTCATTAGCTGGGTATAAGAAAGGGGGGAAAAGGGGAACAAGAAAACCTCCCAAACAAAACCCGACCAAAAACCCGACAAAACGCAAATCAAACAAACAAGAGACACACAAAGCAAAAGCCCTCCAAAGCACCAAGCAAACCTTGCTGGTATTTCACGGAATGCTCGCTCCAGTGGCCGCAGACGTGTCCAGCTCCGGTGCCCGGCCGCGGCAGCCGGGAGCGCCGCACTGCCGAGCGTGGCCGCGCTGCCGCGACCCTCTTCCTGCGTCGGCAGAAATTTTATAAACTTCGTCTACTTTAAAAAAAAAAAAAAAATCTTTGGGGTCAATTTTCCACTTGTGCCTGTAGCTCTTGAACAAGTACTTTTATGGTTCCTTCTAGCGCACAGGATTTATCTGCAGCTCTGTGAAGGGCTTTTACATTTAATCCAGCGCTGAAGGAGTAATTTGTCGCCGGCGCTTCCTAGCAGGCTTTTCTTTTAACTTAGCCGGGATGCGGACCCTTTGTGCGGGCTAATTTGCGCCGCACAATGCTGGGGCATCTCGGGGCCGGGGCGGCTCGGGGCCGCCCCCGGATGTCCTCCCGGCCGAGCCAGGGGACGGGCAGGGGGAAAGGCTGGGGGCACCTCGGGGCTGCACCCGCCGCGCTCCCGGCCCGACCCGGCCGGGAACTCAGCTGGGTTTTCCACGTGTGTGCACGGAGCCATCGCTGCACGGAATTTATAGGAGCTCCTGTGCCTTTTCTGCAAAGACTCTGGATTTTTAAGGTTTTTTTTGTTTTTTTAGAGTTTTTTGGATAATCGGTTTTTTAAATCAAATTTAAAGTTCCTCTTACATTGGGGATAACGTGCTTGGATTTGTTTTTTTCCTGGAGGAGGCAATGCTTTATAGCCTGTCCGTATATATTTTTCAGGGAGAGGGAAATATCATGGTCAAGGAAGATAATATTTTGCCAATTCTTTATTTTAATTGAAATATCACAGTTTTTATAATAATTTTTGAAGTGAGAGATTCACCCTTCCGCCTTGTAGATGCCTGTCTTTTTTTATTAAAAATAGTGTTGTTCTGATTGATACCAGTATTGTGGACGAATATTTTATTCCAGATATTAAAACATCTTGGGGATACGTTTGGGCATAGCAGAAGCGTGTGAAATAGTGCCCGACAAATATGAAATAGCCTCTCATAAATAAAGATACTAAAGCCACAATATTAAAAATGGGAGCAGCTCTGACTGCCTCCCTTTTATCACATTTCTAAACTAGACTGATACTGCAGGCGGCTTTTTGGTGACGGCTCGGGAAAGAAACGTTGCTGTATTTACATGAATTATGCCTGTACTTTATACTCTGTCCGGGGGCACTCTGGATTCCTTTTCTACGTTGGGCAAATGACAGTATAAAGCAGCAGCGCCTCTAACTAAAAAAGCACTAAAAAGCTGCTTTTGGGAGCCGTGTGCCCCAGGTATGGGCAGGGCCAGCCCCCCTCTCCCTGCCCAGTCCTGGCCGGGCATCCCTGAGTTAGAGCCCAAATCATTCGAGCCGCAGCCCAGCAATCTCCATGAACCACGGAGAGGGGAGCCCGCAGGTACGGCAGCGGCACGTGGGGAGGGAGCTTTATGGGCATGATTTAGTGAATATGAGAACATATTTTGTGCTCCATTGTTTAGACTCAAGAAGGCATAAAATCTTTAACATCTATTTATCACGTAGCTGTTTTAATGTAAACATTTGTCTATTTGGATGAAGTGTTTTCATTATTAAGCTAATTTCCACATGTTTCAGATAGACTGATGAGTTCCAAGCAGAGCACTCGCTGATGAGAAACGAAATTCGGCCACGGCTCAGCCTGCTGTCAGATACATCTTCATTAGTTTTTGTCATTCACTGATGGCAAATGCTCTATAAATGAGATGACGATCAGGTCCGCCTTGATAACTTGCCTTATCTCATTAGTTTTCACATCAAAGTTAATCAGCAATGTGAATTGTAATTGCTGGAAGAGACAATGCAATAGATCACTCGGCCTTTTTTTTTCTGCGTGGCATCTTGAAACATCAGCAGGCTGGTGTGAGTAGATAGGCTCCGAAGGAAAATGATGTGGAAAGCATAATAAGCAAGCTGCTCAGAATTAATGAGCTTACCAAATAAGAAAAGAATAACCAATCAATGTGAGCTGGGCAAATATAATTTAGGAATAATTGCTTGATTGGTTGTCTATAGTAGGCTGATTTGACCACACACAAGGATTAAGAATTAAGATGTCAAGGCAAAAAATAATTTGGCAACTGAGGGCATGTAATTTTTTGTTCCCCTCCCTTTATGACTGAAAGCGATTGCTGTTTGATATGTTATTCCCCGGGAATGAAAACATTAGACGGGCACGCACCGGTGGGTGGGGTTCTTCCTCTCCTTTATATGCTCCTTTTGTCATACAAGGTCTTTCAAACCTCGCCGGGGATATTGCGGCATGGGACATTAAAAACGAATGGGGGGGGGGGGCGGGGTTGGAAATAAAATAAAACTACAGAAAGCCCCCAGACGTCTTCATCTGTGAGCGCCGCACGGAGAGGAGCAGGGGCTGCATGCTCAGCGCCGTGCCTGGAGTTGGCAGAGCCCGGCCGTGCCCAGCTCCAGACCCCAATGCGGAGCGCGATTCCTGCGCAGCGCGCATTTTTCGTATAATTCTCTGCACAGCCATTGGCCAATTAGTAAAGAACCCTTATATTCGTCTATCTACGGGGAAGGTTCAGCCAGAAGGTAAATTTGCTTTGATCTACATTACACCTAATTGAGTCACCACCAATGTCTCTATCCCAACATCAAGAAATGTGAAAATGTTAGATTATTTCACTGGGGATTAAACCTAATTTTCGCGTGTTCTGCATTAACCTATTAGGCTGACTCATCTGCATTGCTAATGCGGCTCAGGCAGCTGTCACCGCTAAAGAAAAACATGATCATGCAATCCTTGAATGAATGATTCCAGCTCTGATTAGTGTTACTGAAGTTAGCTGAGCCCTGGTGATAAGGCAGGAAAATTCCCAGGTTGCCAATAGCCTTGAAAATTATCAGACTCTGGGCAAAATGTAGCTGGCGGCGCGCGGGGCCTCCCTCTGAAGGTGGCATTATTTAAGGCCGTCTCTCTCTTCGGGCTGCTCACTGGAACGTGGTTGCTTCTGCAGCTCCTTCCAAGGGGCTGGTGCCAGGGGTACGAATTAAAATGCTAATGGGGAGAGACCTGAGCATGGACTGCCGCGGTTCTTTTCCTGCCTGGCCTCGTCCGGGCTTTAAATGAAGTTTCCAGAGGGCAGCGGCGGCGATGCCCGAGCGGCTCCGGCCGGGAAAAGGGCCTTGGGGGCCCGGCCACGGCCCCGGGCTGGGCTCCGCTCTTTGTTCCTGAGGCGCAGGCACCGCCGCCAGCTCCAGCCGTTCCTCATTCTATCTGTCAGATTTAAATAGGAAAAAGGGGAGGAAAAAGCAACAATGGCCCATCCCCTTGAGATGGGAAAAAATTTAGGAGTGAGTTATCCCCAAGCAATAGAGCCAGGAGCCAATTTAATCCGATTAGCGCCTGCTGACAATGGATGCTCCTCACCCATTGTGGACAGAAGCTTTCACTTTATTTGTTTCTATTAGCCGAGAACCCAAGATACTGGGAAAGTGGAACTTTGCCCCAACAATTGAAGAAAAAACAAATTGAGAGAAATCATCTAAAGTGTCAATATTGATGTTTCGGCCCTGACTGTGTGCGGAGAGGACTTGCTGAGTGCCCAAAGTTTGCTGCACCCGTTGCTGTGTGCTCTCGGTACTCCCTGAGCAGGGGGTGGTGGCGGCTCTTCCTGCCAGGATGGTGGGTGCACAGGGCAGGAGCTGCCAAGGCAGAACAGAGGGCTTTCCATGGGAAAATACTCAGAGCTGTTCACCAAACCACAGCACTGATAGGAAATGTAGCGGGGCTTTAAACTGCCAGGCACCTGTTGGTGAACTCCCAGTTCCTCAGTGAACACACTCATGCAGGTGTCAGCAGAGGTTCCTTCCCATGACATTTCATGGAGAGGAGCTTCTTTCCACACACCTGGAATGCATTCTCCCGTCTCCCAGCACCGATTCCTGTGACAGCCACAGCACTGCTCGGCGTCGCCAGCGGCTCCCCCCTGTCCTTGTGTGACTGTGGTGTTGCTCCAGTGAGGACAGGCAACACCTGGGCTCCATGTGCTGCTGCTGGAGCCACCTCCCTGAACCACCTGGGGCATGGCCAAAGTTGGGCAGATTGATGTGACCAGACTTGCTGCAAGGTCCAAACCCCGCAGACATGCCCAGGAGCCCTGGGAATGCCACACTGGAGATGGCCAAGCCTGTTAGCCATTGCTGGGCAGTGGGGGGCAGGATGGAGGTGAACACCAAGGTCAGCACAGGGTGGTGACCTGTTCCCTCCAAATCAACACTGCTGGCATTAAAACACAACCTTCAGTGCCCCAGGGATTCCAAGGGGAATGGGAGGAGAGGGATGTGTGGCAGCAGGAGCACTCTCTTCACCAAGGGGCCTTCCTGGGGATGCCCACCATGAGCTGGCAGTGCTGGCCAGGGCAACTCGGGTGGTGCAAACCATAAGATTTGGGGGTTTATCCCCAAGCTTTTTGCTGTCTGGAAAAGCAGGGACCCACTGAGAAAAGCTGTGTTCCCAGAAAAGGAGCTGCGCTGCAGGCTGGGAGAGGTGCCTGTTAACATCCCAGGCTCCTGGAGTAGCTGCAGACCAGAATTGTGTCCTGATCCACATCCTTGCAAGTTGGGGGTAATTTCTCTGAGCACCAGTCCCTCTCCTCCCCAGTGGTGCTGCCCTGGGAGTGACAGCCTGCCTGGGAAAAAAGGGTCAGAGGAGAATTATTTTGCAGAGCTACCCCATAAAAAAAGACTTCTTCTCCTAAAACGGGATTTTTTTTTTTCTCCCCTCTGTTCCAGTAAGCGGTTCCAGGTGTCAACTGAGCAAAGTCCAGATCAGCTGCAGTTATTCCAGAGTACGCGTCCACATGCAGAATATTCCAAAACAGGTATTTCACTTTAAATGCATGCCCTATCTTATTTCAGAATATTTTCCCTGCATGAAGAAGCACTTGGCTGAGGTCTCTGCTTGCTGCTGTACTAGTGGTAAGATGGATTGGCTGATCTAATAGGTCTTTTCAATCTCTGATTTTGAAAGCTAAGATTGGGAAATTAATTTCAGAAAGGTCAAAACAGAGCAAGGCTATCCTGCTGCTGTGTGATGGATCCTATTTTTTTTTTTTTAAATCTGCCTATTGAGGGAAAGGTTAGTTATTCAGCATCCTGCAAAAGAAAGAAATAAATAAAGCAGGCCGAGGAACACAAGTGTATAGATCTGCTGACCCATTCGCAATCCTCAGTTAATGAGAGTGCCGGGGAGCGGGAGCGCTGAGAGGCTGCGGAGCGGGGGCAGCGACCCTGCGGGCAGGCAGCGGGAGCGGGGTGTCTCCTCCGCCCGCACCGCGCGTGGCCGCCGCGGTGGCCAGAGCCTGGGAGGTCTGCTCCTACCTCCCGCCTGGGAAAATGCCAGGCAGCCATCCCGGGGGTGTTCACAGAAAACCCAGCCCGAGGCACCGAGGGGACGGAGAGGGGCAGCAGCGTCGCTCAGAACCGCTGTGGTCATGGGGAGTTGTGCTCTATGGGGTTTTAGCGTGTAGAGAAACAGAAGACTCGGAAGGAAAGGGGAGAAAAAGAAAAAACAAAGGCTTCATGTAGATATTTCCTTGCTTTTTATTTACTTGTTCTGTTCCAACACAGCCAAGCAGTAAAATGGAGAGTAAATTGCTTTTGTGCTTTTAAAAACCAGGGAATCAGAGGTAGAGCAAAGGGAACAGTTAGGAGGGAATGACTTCTTAAATGACTTCTTAATTAACAGCAAAATAGATTTCTCTTGTTTAGTTTTTTTGGGTTTTTTGGTTTTTTTTTTTTTGTTGTTGTTGTTTTTTTGTTGTTTTTTTTTGCGTCTCCACCTGGTATATTCAGCAGCCTCCTTCCACTGTCCACTTCTCTTCTTGTGGGTGAATATGGGATGTTGGATTTTGGGAAGTGGGGAGAAATCCACCAGTTTCAGCAGTACTGGTCAGACCTTGTCCCAACACCCCGGGGAGGTTATGCTGTGCCTGGGAGGTGCCACCTGCTGGGTGTCCTGGTGGCTGCTGCTGTGCCTGGGATTGCTGTGCAGCCCCATTTCCCAGTGGGATTCCCCATGGGTTGTCCCCCAGGGGCTGCTGCAGGGAGGAATGGGGTGAGGGACAGGCTGAGACAGCTGAAGAGCCGAGCTGTGGCCAGACCTCACAAGGCCCTCTCCCTGATTTAAGGAAAGGCTGTCCCATGAACACCGATCTGGGTCTCCTGGGAGCAAACCCAGAGAATCCTGCTGATTGCTCTGGACATGCGATCCTGATGGGAATACCTGGCCAATACAACATTTATTAACACACCCATCTCAGGTGTAATTCACCCCTGAACCTGTACGAGCCAATGTCACTTCACAATTCCCTCTTTGCAGACAAATCCTAAACCTGTATGGATCCAGGGCTGTCCCTACCATTCCTGGAGCTTTCCAATTCCTGCTTTTCCTGTTGCTTTCTGCAGCCAGCTTCACAAAACCCAAACAGAAATAATGGGTAAAAAAAATATTTCCAGTTGAGGATTCTGCTTCCAGGTTCAGTAGTAAATGGTAATTATTAGTCAATATACACAAACTACTTCATTTCCTTAGCACGTCAGGCCACACTGGAGGTAAAGCATAACTTGGGAAATGGGTTGGATATCTTGTTCTGAGCACAAGATGCCAAGGAAAACACTGGAGCACACAAACCATAACATCTGGGTTATCCTTTACCAGCAGAGAATCCTTAGCAGGTTTGACTAGACACCAGAGCACCTCTGGTGCAGAGCAGAGTTCTCGTACCTTGGGATTTCTTCCTGTAACTTTTAGAGGAATTTTCCCAAGTCCTCATGTTCCTCCCCTATGAAAGTGCATATTTACCTGCAAGAGAATCCAGGTGTCCAATACTCAAGCTTAGGGTCAAAAAGAAATTTGGGGCTTTATTATCCTGCTTTTTTTTTTTTTTTATGTGTGTTGTGGACTTTTTCACCATTTTTCACCATTTGACTTTTTCAAATTCAACCACTGCTTAACTGTATAATTTGAATATTTTATTATCATTAATGCAGTAACTTCACACTGAGTGTGCACTTGTAGCAAACAGGCGCAGAGAGAGTAATTCTTAGTGATGGTGCCACGAAGGTGTGGCTCTGTTGGGCGACGATGATGAGCAGCATGTGAGGAACAAGGTCCCCAAAAACTGTCCCCGCACCAGCGCTTTCTGGCTTGTGGCTTGAGCTGCTCCATGGGGATCTCTTGCCCTGGGAGAGTCCCAACTTTCCTGGGAGCTTTGCCCTGGCCAAGGGGCCCACCCCAGAGCTGCTGTGTGGTCTGTGGGTCGTCAGCCTCTGGCAGATCCCAGGAACACTGGGGAAATAGCCATAAACCCTATTTAAATAGGGAGCTGGTGGGAGGGAGAAGGGAACATTTATTACCATTTAATCCTGCTCAGGTTTTCTACACCATATGTCTGAGCAGCAGAACATGTGAAATGTGTACTAATTACTCTGCCTGTGTCATGTGTGTATATTTTATATGCAGTCCCTGACCTTTTTGTTAATAACTTCACATTATATTCATTGACCTGAAACAAATTGAATTCAGTGGCACTCACTCCAGAATTGAATTACATAGTCTTCTTAATTGGTCTCTTATTTAAATGTGGAAAAGTAACAGTTTACCACCTGTAATTATTCTTTTCCTTAAGAAATTCCTGTGGAGAACGTGTGTGTGCATGTCTGTGGCACACGTGCTGGGCTCCTGTCTGGGAGGAATTCCCACAGGAGCTCCAAGCCCAACTGGCACCGTGGGGCAGGGAAAAAACCCTTAAGAGTTCTGTCCATTCGAAGCAAAACCGCCTGTAATAGTGTGTGAAAGCCCCGGAAGCATCTCCTCTGCTGGGGGAAAGGGCAGCCCTGGGCCAGCAGCCCTGCTCAGCCTCGGCCCCCACGAGTCAACATTCCCTCGCTGTGCCAGATGCCACCCCAGGACACAGAGAGAGCACAGAGAGGGGAGGTGGGAGCTCTGGGAATGCTGACCCACCGTGGGAGAGAGCCCGGCTGCCTGGAACCTCCGCTCGGCTTTCATCCTTCTGAGGCTGAGTTAATTGCCCAAGCCTCGTAGAGGAGACTTACTCTTTACTTACTATATTTAACTTAAAAATGCAAATGTTATTAGTGTCCCGATCAGTGATAAGAGTGTCTTTGTGCCAGGCTTTAACCTCCATTAGGGGGGATTAGGAGAACGTATCCACATTGGCATTTTCCAAGTGTCACTGTGACAGCACTTGCTGCACAAATGCCTGGCTGTCACACTGAGGTTTATCACCAGGTTTTTTCCTGCGAATGCAGACTAATAAGCCCAGAAATTACAATTGCCTCCCTGCCGAATCTGTGATAGGCGGAAATAATGATATCAGTGCCCTGCTAATCTCCTGCCTCTGCGCTTGGCACCAGCCTATTGAGTCACCTGTCATACGCCGCTTTGATGAGGCGAATTCAATCTCTCAGCTATAATGACAATGGAGCCATTTTAATGTTTGGAAATGATTATGTGAAGGTTTCTCTTTGCTCTGTCTTGGCAAGCAAACCAGGTCAGCGTTCCGGCTGTGTCTCCTGCTGCCGCTAACGACTTGGAAGGAGCTGGCCTGTATTAAGTGAATATGCCAAGTTATTAGAAAGGAGATGCTGAAGGCTGTTGGAGGGGGGAGACTCTTTTTATTTCCTTTTTCACAGCGAGTGTGAGCCTGAGAAGATGCTTCACACATGTGAGCATCTCCCATGCACCCATGGTGCTTGGTGGGCCACAAGAGCCCCATGCACCGCATGCTGGCAGCCACAGGCTCCTCGCCTCAAAATCCACCTGGGAATGGCTGGCTTTGCACAACAGGCTCCATGGAGCCGGCTTGGCAAACAAACCAAGCTCCCAAACTTGTTCCAAGCCCTCCAGCCTGTTGGTGTGTTGGGAAGGAGGCTGCTGGAGGGCTGCACCCAGGGTCTGTCTGGGCAGCTGTGGAGAGAATCTACGGTGCTGGATCCACACCTGCCTGGGTGTCTGTGTCAATTCACTGTGTAGTAGCGACACTGAATTTCTCCTTCTCTTATGTGTTTCTGTGTGTGAAACTAAGTCACACTCCACCTTTGAACAGGAGCTGAAACACTTGGTTTGTGTATTTGAATATAAAAGGAAAATGACTATGTTTCCTCAAGTGGCCAGAGGTCCCAAATGCCTGGAGGAAAGCATCTTCAGCTGGATCAGAGTTTAAGTCACGTTGGAGAGGTGCAGGGTCTGTCAGAGTCTGCTGCTGGAATTCCATAGGTTGGGTACCACCTGGGAACTGCTGGTGCTGCCCAGTCTTCTAGCTGGATGACCTATCCCTGGCATCTCTCTGCCAGTATCCTGTGGGTGTGGGTGATGCAGCCATGGCCCAGTCCTGCAGAGAGGCCGACACATCCCAGTGTAAAGCAATGCTTCCCACATGGTTCCATCACCACCACCCTGTGGGAGTCTCTGGCAGCAAGATCTTTGCCACCTTCCCTTGGCCTTCCCTGCCAGGGGATGGGTTTTAACCAATATGACATTAATTTTCCAGGATCTTGACCAAGTCTTTGCTAGGGCAGGGGTAAAGCAGCAAAATTTCATATGTCAAGCTTTTATTAAGGTGAGCATTCAAAGCTGGCCCTGGATGGGCCGCTGTTCAGTGGGTGAAAGGCAATTGTTGGGCTGGAGAGAGGATGGAGAAGAATCCAATTGACCCACACTGTGAAGGGAGCAGTGCTGAGCCCCTTTCACCGAGGGTCCTTGCAAAGAAATCTTTTTTATTAGAGCTGAGTGCCGAAATTATTTCAAGGAAGTGATTATCTGTCTAATAACAACTGTGCCTGCGCAAGTGACTGCTAC